TTATTTCTTATTTTTTCAAATTGACTTGTTTCTCTTAAAAACTTTTTGAAGTTGATTAATGGGTACGAATATACAGATAGATAGAGGAAATATGACCTGGCATTCTCTAGACCAGTAGGGCAACTGTAGTTAATATTAATCTATTGTACATTTCAAAATAGCTACAAGAGAATAATTGAAATGTTCCTAGCATATGGAAAAGAGAAATATTTAAGGTGATAGATATCCCAATTACCCTGATTTGATTATATAAATGTATCAAATTATCACATATACTCTGAAGATCTGTACATCTATTACACAGCAATAAAAAATAAATAAAAAATAAAGTTATTCCTAACAACGACAAAAAATCTTTTGACATTGATAAAACGATTGGGCCAGGCACAGTGGCTCACAGCTGTAATCCCAGCTTTTAGAGAGGCTGAGTCAGTAGGATTGCTTGAGCCCTAGAGTTCAAGACCAGCTTTGACAATGTAGCGAGATCCCTGTTTCTACCAAAAAAAAAAAAGTCAGATGTGGTGGTGCATGCCTATGGTCCCAGAACTTGGGAGGCTGAGGTGGGAGGATCACTTGAGCCCAGGTGTTTGAGGTTACGGCAAGCTATGACCATGCCACTGTACTCCAGCCTAAGTGACAGTGAGACCCTGTCTCAAAAACAAACAAAAAACAATAAAAAAGAAAGAAAATAAAGAAAAGAAAAAGCAACTGATTTTTCGAAAACACCGAGTAAATAAATAATAATGCAGGTGGTAGGTGAAATTAGCAACACTGTTTCACTGGTACCCTAATGCTAGACATTTATGAAGCCCTGTGTTTCTCATTCAGCCTTCAGCAGCCCCATGAAGCTCAGGGATGTACCCTTCCCATCCCTGTGTGCAAGGTGGGCCGTATCTGGTCAGTCACACACTGGGTTTCATGATGAATTCCACAATGTCATATGGAATAGTTTAAAGAACTAAACTATTCCAGAGAAAAGCTGGGTTTGCAAAAGATCAGAAGGCAGCTATCTCCAGCACCACTTTACCCCACTGAGTTTGGGTGCAGCCTCTCCCCTAGGAGGATGGGGAAGATGATTCGCTCAAGCTGGCTTATTGTCTGGGCAACCCTGAATGCGATCCAGGGTCACCTTTGGCAACTGTGCTCACTGAACCATGATCCCCATTTTACAGATGCAGGAACAGGCAAGAGAGACTCAATGATTGGCCCAAGCCATACACCAATTCCAGGATCCAAATTCAAAACCAATCTACTTTACACTTCAAGGAAAAGAGACAATTATGTGAGGCAATCAGGAGAGGAAGGGCCCTGCTCTGTTTTCAGGGTCCACTTTCCATCTTGGAGAAGGACCAGAGGAGCCAGGCTGCTCTGCAGTTCTTAGGTCCTTCCCTCTTTCATGTGCTGGCTGCCTCCCACCTTGAGCGATTTTGGTATCTGGGAAGTTCTGAGAGTCACTGCAACTCTCTCCTCTGTTGATTATAAAAAAGACTTGGCAGGACACTTCCCATTCCTAACCCCTGCACCAGAGAATCATTCCCTAGATTAAAGATGACTTCTCCAGTCTCCGTTTTAAAATGTATTATAGGGTCTGGTGTGGTGGCTTACGCTTGTAATCCCAGCACTTTGGGAGGCCAAGGCAGGTGGATCAGCTGAGGTCAGGAGTTTGAGACCAGCCTGGCCAACATGGTGAAACTCTGTCTCTACTAAAAATACAAAAAATAGCTGGGTGTGGTGGTATGTGCCTATAATCCTAGTTACTCAGGAGGCTGAGGCAGGAGGATCGCTTGAATGCAGGAGGTGGAGGTTGCAATGAGCTGAGATCGTGCCACTGCACTCCAGTCTGGGTGAAAGAGCGAGACTGTCTCAAAAAGATTTAAAAAATGCATTATAGTCACTGACTGGAGTTCATGATAGAGTTATGTGTAGTTGTTTTTGAGATCTCTTACTTAAGGATCAGGATGAAAATAGGAGCTGTTTCTTTAATTCTTACTATTCAAGTTTTAAGAAACACTTTAGTATTCTATTCAACTCTTCCCTTTTTTCCCTTTCTTTCTTGCTGGTTCTGAAAAATAAGTGTAGCCCCATAAATATGCAGAATGTGAAAAGCTGACTTTTCCTAAATCTAATAAAATCCTTGGAGAGTAATTGAAGTAATTTGGCGTGGGTAGTCAGGTTACATGCTGCATAATATCAAAAGAGAGTCCACAGCAAGGAAACTTGAGAAAATAGGAAGAGGGGCTGGAGAATAAAACCAGAACACTAAATAATGAGTAACTGAGAAACTAAAAATATATCTTTTTAGAATTACAGTCTTAGAAAATTAGTCGAGGATAGTCAAAGAGGTAATACTAGACAAAGTATACATTTTATGCATTTCTAAGGACTCCAAATTCAAAGGAAGAAAATATCCCCTCTTCCCCGGCATTTATTCACTAGACAAAAAGTCTAACAAAAGCCACAGCTTTCGAGCACATTTTGACATGATTAGGTTCTCCTCCTGTCTCCTGTCCCTGATTTTTTTCAATCTGAATTTTAAAGGAATGTTGTCAAGAGAGCAGATCGCAAAAGGAGAACAGTTTACTATCAAGTGTCCTAGGTATACTTTTTGGATTATCTTACTCTCTAGTCTTTATGATTTTATGAATGATGACTGCGTTTATTGCCAGTAGTAAGGTGATGCTGACTTTGCACACCTGGGTGTTGTGATGGAGAAATGCTGGATTAGAGTCACAAGTTACAAACAGCAGCTTGCAGCCTGCATTTCTGGCAGAATCCTGTCACTCAGTGTCCTGCCCTAACCTCAGACCTTTGGCTACAGAACCCTGGACAAGCACTGTGCTACTCCTAGACTCAGTTTCTGTCAAGTTTTTTAGAGTTATTTCTATATAAAAATAAACATCAGGAAACAGAAAAGCAGAAAAAGGTGAAAGCAATCACCCATAATTTATCAAACATAATGATTTTCTATATTTTCTGCCAATCTTTCCTATGTATACCTTTTTTTTTTTTGTTTGTGGAGACAGAGTCTCACTCTGTCACCCAGGCTGGAGTGCAGTAGCATGATCTCAGCTCACTGACACCTCGGCCTCCCGGGTTCAAGTGTTTCTCCTGCCTCAGCCCCCTGAGTAGCTGGGACTACAGGCATGTGCCACCATGCCTGGCTAATTTTTTGTATTTTTAGTAGAGATGGGGTTTCACTGTGTTAGTCAGGATGATCTTGACCTCCTGACTTCGTGATCCATCAGCCTTGGCCTCCCAAAGTGCTGGGATTACAGGCATGAGCCACCACGCCTGGCCTTTTTCCTTTTCTTTTAAAAATGTGGTATAAACTAAACTGTATAATTCAATTTTATATCCTGATTTTTCTTTTGGCAGTGCCTTGTCTTTCCAAATAAAAATATATTTGACCTTTAGCCATCATTTTCTAGGGCTGCCTAATATTCCACACAGATGAGTTTTGTGCTTTGTTTTTTACAATCTTCATTGACAGAGGATATTTGACAGTGTTGGGGGCTATTTGAGAATCTCACTAAAGGAAAAAGAGAGTGCAGCCACAGGCCTGATGTTAACTTTGTATCTGTGATGGGTCACATGGCCAGATTTGACTGTAATTGTCCATTAACTATTGGTTGTATTCCCATGCAGAGGGATGAGGCTGATCTCTTTCTGCAGATCATCTGGGATCACAGCCCAATGACTGTATTATCTTTGTTGGTATCTGAGTGGAGTGAGACAAGGTGGGTAGAAGTGTCTCCTCTGTAACTTACTATCTTTGTGGCTGGGGAAGGGGTTCTTGGCTTCTCCATGTCTCCATTTCCCCAGCTGTGACAGTGTGGATATTATTTTCATGCCCAATTCTGAGAAGTATATTTTAACACATTTGGTATTGAGTTGAATGCCACAATCAATGGGTACATTGTAATTTTTCCTTCCTTTTTCCTCCCTCAAAACTCCCTGGAGCTATTACAATCAATGGCATCTTAGTATTGAAGAAATTTAATAATACTTGCCTTACAGTGTCTGTTGTTGAAAGGATCAACAGAAATAAACATAAAGTGTTCTTAGCACTTGGTAAGAGCTCAGTTAATGTCAGTAATTATTTTATTAATAAAAAAACTATATTGTTCTTAGATGAGGAGGGCATTTATTCTGTATAGAATATTTATTATAAGAAATACATTATTTGTAGGTCACATGTTTAGTTTAAAAGCTTGCTGCTTGGAAAATCCCTCAACATGTTTTGTTAATTAGAGATAGCACAGGGATAGCAAATAGGTTTAACTTCATGTGCCAAGCCTAATTTGTTGATGATGATTGTCAGACGTGCTGTGTTTCAAGAACTGCTGAGGCAGAATCTGAGCATAGCAGACAAGAGTGCCAAGGCTGATTAGCGATATCTTTCCCAGGCTTAGGAAGACGGAGTGGCAACACACACACTGTTTACCATCTCTACATTATGGTGTTACAAAACATTACTTGGCAATTCATTAGGCGTTAGCCAGGCCATGGTTTATCAATCAGAAGTTTCATCAGAATCTTGTGGCAATAGACCACCTCCAGGTCCAAGGGGGAAGGTTGAAACCCACACAGGTGAAACTGAAAACTCCAACCCCAGCAGAAACACGGGAGACTCTGCACCATCGGAGACGGCAGAGCTTTTGCAATGACCTTAACGTTGCTCAGCTCTTGCTCTGCTAATGCTCATTTAGGTCTTGCCTCCTGAGCCTCAAGCATCCTGTGCCTTGGGCTTGCTAGAACTTTGCTATGGGCGAATGATCTGCTCTTTTGGTCTACCCCTTGACTGCAGCTTGTTTTTGTTCTCCTTTGCTGTGGGTAAATGGCTCTAAGCACAGGGCCCTTCTTTCAGAAAGGGCAATGGTGTTGGAAGGGAGACTGTTCATTTTATTCTGTGGTCCTTGCTATGTAAATCTCAGCTTTTGAGGTGCTTATAAAATAAAATCAATCATTGCAGGGCAAAGGCTTAATGGAAAGCTACATACCATTTCTTGCAATATTCTGGTAGTCCCTGTGATTACAGTGGTTTCTTTTCCATAAGCGAAGGTAAATAGATTTTTCTTTAATTCTGAAACAAATACATATGTATATATTTAAGGTCAGGATACTCACATGAAGAAGTTAAAAAAAAACCATGTTTCTATCACGTTTTTAAAAAGTACTGTTAAAATGAACTCAAAAAAATCAAATCTCTGCTGACAAGTTTTCTTTGAACTGTGAATGTAATGTTGGCAGTTGTTATGAGAAGCAGTTCTATGAAATGAGTTGTATGGGTGTTGTAAGAGTACTGCTGAAGACATAAAACTTTTTCTTTTGTACAAAGACCTCCAGAATTATCCCTTTCAAGTATTTTTTTAACCAAGAACTGCTGTACATTTCTTGAGCAATTGCTCATCTTTATTAACTCTATTATTTTGAAGCTAACCATGTTTCCTTTTTTTTTTTTTTTGGTTGCTATAAGGCTATGGTTGGCACTATTATTGTCCTTCAGCTCTGTTCTCCCTTCATGCACTATAATAGAATTTTTAGCAAGACCCATGTCTGTCCAGAATGAGGATTGCATTTTCCAGCTTCTCTTGCAGCTAGGAGTGGCACATCACTAAGTTCTGGGTGATGAGATGGAATTGGAACTATCCAGTGGCAATTTCTGATAATGTTCCTTAGGAAATAATTGGATGATGATTCTGTTTCATTTTCTGTACCTTTTCTTCAGTCTCCTGCCCGGACTAGGAATGCTGCCATCTTAAACTATGGGAGTAAGGTTCACATTGAAAAAGTGGAGGGGTCAGCTGGAAGGGGCCTGGATCCCTGAGAACTACATGGAGTTGAGCTCCCATATCAATTCTAGACTGAACATTTTCTAAACCTTTCTGTGTGAGAGAAATAAACTTATATGTTGAATCTCTGTTCCTTGAATCTAATACTAACGGACACAGAGCTTACAGACAAATTTGACACCAGTATCAGGATATAATTATACATATTTTAAGTCATTGTCTTGACTCCCTTTTGTCTCATCTCGGAGTTTTCCTTTTCTTTTGCTTAATTTAGATGTAAGTAGTTTAATTAATGCAATGAAACTTAGTTTAATTTAAATGTAATTAAATATTATGTTCTCTATACTGTCATAGGCTTCCTAAAATCTTTTTTGAAACAAGACAAGATATAAACTAAAAAATAATAATTTAGCTTAAAATACTTGCATAATCTTCAAATATATTTTATCTTCTTTTCATTATAATAAGTTCACATCTCACAACCTTACATACAATACTGTTTATTAAGTGTTATATGAAATCTTACTCATTGTATTACAGTGCATGGCAACTGTCTCAGTGCTTCAGAAAGGTAAGCATATATTCTGTTTGGGCATTCAGAATGCATTGTAAATAGTATATATTTTTTGAAGTCTGAGAATACCAATGACAATGTTTTTTAATAGAAGACCAAGATGTCTGAGCAATATTTTAAGTGTGATATTTTTGTTTTGTAGTAGAATTTTGAGGTGAATGATGTATTTATTTTTTAAAATCAAAGCTACCCATGCACATAGCTTAAAATTAATTTACTTAATAGATGTTTATTGAGCACCTGCTACATTCCAAGTATTATTCTAGGCCCTTGAGTTATATTGGAAAATTAAAAAACATGATCCCTGCTTCTGTGTTGTTGAAATTTCAACATAAAAAGACCAATAAAAGCATTAAACATTATAAAAAAGCAAATGACAGCGTATGCTAGAAAGTTATAAATTCTATGAAGCAAAGGAGAAAAAGGACATGAGAATTAGGGTGGCCAGAGGAAGTCTAATTGAGAAGCTAAAATCAACAAAGACTTGAGGTGATGAGTCTCATAGAACCAAATAACTTACCTATGTGTGTATATGAGACTTGTGATGATAAACAGTAACTCCACACTTCCCTGCAGTATCCATGTCTCCATTCCCATAGGCAACTAATTCCAACCTTAACTGGCTGGGTCTTTTGATATTTTTCTTTTCATCTCTAAGCAACATGCTTTTAAAGCTACTTCTTGATTTTTAGTCTTTGACGTTATCTGTTCATTTCTTACCCTAGAAGAGGATTTAGCTATTGACAACTAATCTAGGATTGCTTTCTATTTTCTTTATAACTTTTTTATTTCTGTAGAGTTGATAACTGCCTTTTGTTTCTTTCCTTAATTTTCTAAGTCTTTATCATTGTATTAGTCTACTCTCATATTGCTGTAAAGAAATACCTGAGACTGGGTAATTTATCAGAGAAGAGGTTTAATTGGTTTATGTAAGGAAGCATAGCAGGATGTAAAGGAAGCATAGCAGCATCTGTTTCTGGGGAGGTCTCAGGAAGCTTCTAATCATGGCAGAAGGCAAAAGGGGAATAGGCATGGCACATGGCAAAAGCAGGAGCAGGAGAGCAAGGGAGAATGTGCTACACATATTTAAATGACGAGATTTCATGAGAACTCACTCCCTTTCATGAGGACAGTACCAAAAGGGATGGTGCTAAATCATGCAAGAGAAATCCACCCCTATGATTTAATCACGTCAAATTTTTCATAAGCCTAAAACTACTTTAAAAAAAAAAAGCCTATTAAAAAAAAGGCCCTGCGTGGCTGAACTCAGCCTCCCAGTTGTCCCTTCCCAGGCATGTCATGTGAGTGAAGCCATCTTAGATCCTCCAGCCCAGTCATTAGGTAATGTTATCGCATAACCACGATGTCATACAGAGAGGAGAAATTGGCCAGTCACGCTCTGCCTGAATTCCTGAGCCCTTCAAAATGTGAGATATAATAAAATGACTATTGTTTTAAGCCACAAAACTTTAGGGCAGTTTGTTACACAGCAATAACATAAATCTATATTAGTCAGGTTCTCCAGAGGGATAGAACAAATGGAATATATAGTTAATACTTAATCAACTCCCATATATGGGAGTTGATTAAGTATTAACTCACCTGCTCACAAGATCCCGTAATAATAGGCTGTCTGCAGGCTGAGGAGCAAGGAGAGCCAGTTCGAGTTCCAAAACTGAAGACCTTGGAGTCTGATGTTTGAGGGTAAGAAGCATCCAATACAGGAGGAAGATGCAGGCTGGGAGGAGGCCAGGCCAGTCTCTCTTTTCACATTTTTCTGCCTGCTTACATTATAGGCACACTGGCAGCTGATTAGATTGTGCCTACCCAGATTAAGAGTGGGTCTGCCTTTCCTGCCTCACTGGGAATGTTAACCTCTTTTGGAAACACCTTCTCAGACACACCCAGGATCAGTACTTTGTATCGTTCAATCCAATTAAGTTGACACTCAGTATTAGCCATCACAGTTACTATCTTTTTCCCTCACAAGTCTGAGGGAATCAATTGATTCATTGGCTTTTAGCCTCCCCAGCATTGTTAATTAAGTATGAAGCAATTCTGTGTCTTGATTCTTTGAAAGCCTATGGTAGCATCTTGTTCCAAGTGTTCTGAAATGTTATAATGGCAGGCTTGGTGTGGGTCTGCGTTCATTCACAGTGTTAGACTTTTGATAAACCCTTTCAACGTGGAAATTCATGATGTTCAGTTTTGAGAGGTGTCTTTAAATTATTTCACTGATGATTTCTTCTTTTCTCTTTTCTCCCTACAACTATTGGGTCATCTGAACTAGTCTTGTAATCTTCCTTATTTCACTGGTCTTATAATTTTCCTTGTTTCTCTGTCCTATTTTCCCTTCCTTCCTTCCTTCCTTCCTTCCTTCCTTCCTTCCTTCCTTCCTTCCTTCCTTCCTTCCTTTCTTTCTTTCTTTCTTTCTTTCTTTTTCTTTCTCTCTCTCTCTCTCTTTCTTTCTCTCTCTCTCTCTCTCTTTCTCTCTTTCTCTCTTTCTTTTTGAGATGGAGTTTCACTCTTGCTATCCAGGCTGGAGTGCAGTGGCATGATCTCAGCTCACTGCAACCTCTGCCTCCTGGGTTCAACTGATTCTCCTGCTTCAGCCTCCTGAGTAGCTGGGACTACAGGCGTGTGCCACCACACCCAGCTGATTTTTGTATTTGTAGTAGAGATGGGGTTTCTCCATGTTGGCCAGGATGGTCTCCATCTCTTGACCTCGTGATCTGCTTGCCTCGGCCTCCCGAAGTGCTGGGATTACAGGTGTGAGCCACCGTGCCCAGCCTCTCTGTCCTGTTTTCATGTCTTGGTCCTTTTTCTCCATTTTCTGGATAATATTCTCAACTTTATTTTTTAACCGTTCTATGAATATCACCTGCTATCACCAGAATAATGTCCAAATGACCTTTTTGGTTCTGTGAATATCTTTTTAATTTTAATGTTCTTATTTTATGAATGTAACATCTTCTTCTATCCTTTTTTGAAGCACTTGCCTGCTATAGAATTCTTTTATCTTTTTTAATATATTAATTTCAGTTATTTTAATATGTAGCTATTAAAATTTCTAAAAAGTTTTATCCCCCTTAGTACATAGTCTCTGTTTCTCTAATTTCCTTTTTTTCCCCTTCTGTTTTTGTATTGTCTTTCATGTTCGAGGTTTCCTGCAGATGTGTAATGATCCTGGGCTATTGGCTTATATTTAAATATTGAAACTGGTTGTCAGCTAAAAAGGTGATTTGTTTTGATTGGAAACTGGGCCCCTGGCTGTGCTTGTTGACTATAGCCCTCACTACAATGTGAGATGTCTGGGCCTTTCTTGGGGAACCCTGCTGTCAGCATCTATGGGACTCTCCTCTTGGGATGTTCAGATTCCCCAGGGAAGGGTCTTCTAGTCTGCAGCCAGGAGAGTAGAGGCTGGGTTGCCAGAACTCTCGGGCATATGGGGAAGGGTCTGCAACATTTAGCATTCATTTGTTTTTATAAGATATTCCTCTCCTCGTTTATGTTTGGTGTCTTCCAGTCCAGAGGCCCTTGGTGTTAGTGTCTCCAGAGAATAAAGCTCTAGTCTTATTCCAGAGTCAGGGAGGGGCAGTTGACCACCTGTGGAGAGTTGGAAGGGATCTGAGGAACTAACTGCTCTTCAGCAATCCTCCAACCAATACTTCTGGTTTAGCCTCACCTGCATTTCTAGAGACCCCACGTGTAGCCAGT